TATATATATATACGTGTGTGTGTATACATATACACGTCCAAGCAAAAGGAGCACAAGCACGCGTACAGGCTTGTGCATGCATGAACGGTAGTATGAAGACAAACACCACCAGGGAACGGATGTGCATGTATGCATGCGTGTGCGCGTCTTCGTGTGCATCTGCTGCTTCTGTATGTGCATGTGCATCTATGCATGCATGAACGGATGTGTGCGTGCACTTATACATGTGTCTGTATGGATGGATGGATTAATGTAGGACTGTATGCATGTCAATGTGTGCATTTGCACATGTACATATGCATGTATGGGTGCATGAACGCATGTGTGCATGAGTGTATGTGTGCATTTATGCATGGGTGCATGCCTGTCTGCTTGCCTGCCTGCCTCTGTACGTGCTTGTTTGGTATGCGAATGTAGTGTGGTTAGAAAAAGATTCAGAGGTAGTAGGAGTACCCCCCCCCCCCCCCCCGCCATACCATGCAATATTACAGATGCCGTTACTTCTAGCACCTTGGGTCATGGGTTGAATTGCATCCTGCAGGAGATAATGCCGCATGCCGTGCGGTGCCCAGGCAGCGAGAAGATGCTGAACTACCGGAAACAGACACCTTACAGCCTACAGCGCCTCCGTGACACATGTCTCTGTGTGGTCCTGCTATCAGCTGTGCCTCGCGTTCCTGCGACCCTGAACGGAAACGGCGTGAAAACCCCCAAAGGTTATGTACCCATCCCTGCCCAAACAGAGCCCGCGGCGGAAACCGCTCGCAGCCCACGCATCAACTCACGTTGCACCTGGGTGGGTTGAGGCTCGAGATTAGCAATCAGAAACTACGGGGGAAAGTTCTTTTTGTCGCAAGCTACTCCACCGTCTGCAATAAATCGAAACAATAGCTTCACCCACGTTAGGCCATAAGATAGGCCATAAGAACATCAAAGCTTCGACGCAAAAAACGAACACCAAACCTGCAACAATAAATGAAACCCTAAAGCCCTACACCCCAACAGGCCCAAAAACCCGAAATCCGAGGGCCCGACAGTAAACTTAGTAAACCGTAAACCAAGGCCGTGGCCTCAGCGCGATCTTCTCCAGACAGCCAGGCCTTGGTAAATTCTCATTGCAATTCGGACAAGGAGGGTTCAGGGGGTTTGGGTTTTACCTCTGTTCTGGTGACTTGGGGCACGGGCATCAGAACAGGACCGTGAGCTACGGTCAAGGCGAGTTTATAACGCTTCGAGATGTGCCGATGTGCCGATGCTGGGCCACTCCAAACCCATGCCGTAAACTTTACGGAACCGAAACCAAACTCCTCAAGCTCTATGTAAACTTTAACTAAACGCAGAAGCCCAAAACGTTAAAGCATAATCATAGATCCAAGGGCCCGCAGCCAAAAAACACAAACCCAAAAATTCAGACACGACGCACGAAAAGCTCTCCACATACGGCTAGAACCCTATCCAGCAAGGTAAGAACCCCTTCACAGGTCCCCCTTTCATGGGACCCATGCTGCAGTGAGCAGACGGCGCCCGCGATGTGGCGTGAAGGGCCTCGGAGTGCATTCAGGGATTTCAGGAATTCGGTTTAAGGTTTAGGGTTTCTTTGGGCTTGTTTTGCTTCCCACTTCTTAGCTTGAGGTTTAGGCTTCTGTGTGTTTAGAACCTTGTCGATTTAGGCTGCTGGCCTGCGGGCAGCTTAGCAGCGAGTTTGCCCACCAGAAGTTTCAAAGTGGAGTACTGGACGGTCCAGGGTCCAGGGCGAAATGCAATGCCAAGCGTGTTCGCGCAATAGTTCCAAGAGTGTCATTCAAAATTTCTTGAAGCCTTCAATGTTTCGAGGCCCAACAAAAAACCTAAACTCCGAAATTCCAAAGCCCTGGAGGTCTGGCCGGCTTCGCCGTAAAGCTTTGAATGCTGGACTTGAAGCCCTCGCAAATCCTGATCTCTGGGCCCGTTAGTATCCTCGGGTAGACTAGAAATCAGCCAAAACTCTCCTTGCACCCTCAAATAGTGGTATATGGTCCC